TACTTATTTACAGTAATTTTATTTCATAAAAAGAATTAGTAATACCAGATATTGTTAAGAGTTAAAACTTTTGCATCGTAGTTTTTTTCTTCTTCTGACTGTTTGACATGTTCTTTACTTGCATAAAATTTTCCATGAAAGTATACTAATAGTTCGATTCTATTCTTTTGAATCAGTGAACATGATGAATAGGATTGAGTAGAAAAGAATTAAACTAACCTTGTAGGAGTAAAATATAGACGAAGTGGTAGAATTAACACCAATAGAAATATTAAACAAATGTAAGATGAATGCAGAAAAAAATTGAAATAATTAGATTACTATTTAACAAACATTGATCAGTCGACTCTCCAAGAAAAATTCTATCACCAGAGTGTGGGTGTTGACATTGAGTGTGAGTGTGGATATGGGTCTAGTATTCACTCTTACCCACACTCTCAAGTTTTTCCGTAAAAAAATGAATTTTAAAAAATGTTCATATCTCACAATATGAGGCGAAGTATTTGACTTTCTTTAGAAGTTAGTATACCAAGAACAAAATATTCCTTCTGCCTAAAAATTTCAGGATATACTCAGGAGTTTTAAATCTATATATGAACGAACTTTTATCTTGTTTTACTGAACTCTACTTTTTATGGATAGAAGAGTTAGAATCAGAACCAACAAAAATATGTCTCTTAGGTTTCTAATTAGAGTAATTTTTCCAGTTCTGTCCATATAATCGCTGTATTTGAAGAATATATTTTTTTTTAATGCATTGTGATCTAATCAGTTAATTCGTTTTGTAGAACTCACATATATTTTCGAAGAAAATAGTGAGTGTAAGTTTTAAGTTCAAGTTTTGGCGCCCCTCCCCCTTCTCCATTAGAGATCTTAGCAATTAAGAATAACAGGCGTCAGACTTTCTAGTTTTTTTCAAAAATTGATCACGTTATAATTTTGACAGATAATCAACATCATTGTTTGTGAGCTGATTAATATATATATATAATAGTGCGTAAGATCTTCTATAGATATCATGGATATGTAAAACAGATTTATTTGCCAATTAATTCAATGATTATAATAATGAGAATGTTGAATTACGAAAAATGATTTAAAAAAAGAATGAAAGATAATGAGCGAATAGCAACAATGCGAAATAAAAATAGGGTGCTTTCAAACAAAAAAATTTTCTGTTTTAAACGTAGAAATAAATAGCAAAGTCTCGCTCTTGTCATTGATTATCAATGAAAGCAACTACAATATACACGAAATTTTTCAGTTTACATATGATGCATCAGAATATTAAGTTTTAAGGATATATGTAAGTTCTACATTTCAGTTCCAAAAGAGATGTACTAACACATCAGATTCAAGTTGTCGTTCAATTTCTTCATCCATTTCAGCATCATCAGCTATCATCTTATTTGAATCCTAATTAAAAAAAAAAATGAACCATTTTGCCTTGGCATTAACTAGTTACTGCAAGTTTTTTCATAAGTACAGCGACAACAATGTTGATAAGTACAAATTGAGCTACAAGAATGAAAACAATAAAATAAATAGGTGAAATTATTGTTATAAAGTGATTTTTATCAGCACAAGACGGATCATCTTGACGTAAAGTATCCTTTAAAACAATATTTATGATTAAAAAAAACAAACTAAGTGTGTTTTTCAATCACTTTCAGGATACCAGTCTAATTATCGCCTGTTGCAATACGAAATAATGTAAGAAGAGTCATGCCAAAATTTTTAAAATGTGCATGTTTATTAAGACCACTACATAGTTGTTCTTCACTACATTCTAATTTTCCAAATAATTCAACACCAAGTGTAGTAAAGATAAAGAAAAAAAGAAAGAATAGAAGACCCTAATTTCAAAGAATAAGAAAAAACTAAAACAAATTCTTCAAAAATAACCAAATAATTCGATTTACCAAATTTCCAATTTGTGGAAGAGAATGAACAACAGTATCTAATAGAGCTCGAACACCTGTGGCTATTTTCAGTAGTTTGAATACTGAAATAGAAAAGAAACAAAAAAATCTTTTATTCGGTATTATTCTATTTATTTACCTCATGCAATTCTGAATATTCTAGTCACACGGATAAGTATAGGATTTATTGGAAGAATATGTCTACTTAACATTTTGTCTATTACAATACCAGCTATTGATAAAAGTACAATAAATAAATCTAATTGATTCCATCTTAAAACAAAAATCAAATAAGAAAAAGAATCTCAAATTAATTTTTTTCCTTACTTATCTTTAAAATAACGTGATGGTCCAAGTGTAACAATTTTCCATATAAATTCAAGTAAGAATACAACCGTAAATGCATAATTACAATATTCAAGAAACTTATATAAGTCCTAAAAACAAAATATTTTGATAATATAAACAACTAATAAATCATTTTTTGTTCTTCCTTACAGATGGCATAGAATAATATTCAAGTGACATTGTAACAACATTAAGAATAATAATAGCAGTAATAATTAAATCAAAATATTTACTAATATATACATCATGCAAACATTTACGCCATAGTGGAAAACGTGTATAATATGGTAATTCACGAATAAGACGTTGTTGACGTTCAATTTTTTTTGCATGTTTTACTTTATTTCGAGCTTCTTCTTCAAGTTATTGTTGAGCACGGCTATCATGAAAACTTTTAATAATAATACCAGCGAACATATTAAGAAGAAAAAAACGGACAATTAGAATAAATGATATAAAATAAATTAATGTTGCTTCATTATAATTCTTTATTGGTTGCATTTCAACACTAACTGCATCAATATCATTATACATTCTTGGTATCCAACCATCTTTTAATGCGAGAACAAATAGTGTTAGTAGAGCCTAAATAAAAGAAGCAATTTTTTAAAAATTATCTTTATGACAAATGTATATTTAACAACATACTCGACCCAAATTGTCAAAATTATATTGCTGATTTTTCCATCGATGATCGGACATTGGTTCACATTGTTGTCTTGTTCTTATCTTATGAGCGAAAGGACCCTCACAATAGTAGAATTTACCTTTGAAAAACTGGAAAAAAAATTTTTAAAGTAAATAATGAGATCGAAGAATTGTGGAAATACATGAAAAAAATGTTGCTCCGTCTCATCAAAAATCAAATATTTTTGATATCAAATTTGGGAAATGCGGAGCTACAAATTGTCATGGATTTCATGGAAGGTCGGATACATATGGGAATTAACCGTGGATATGGAAGAATAAGGGTGTGAGTATGGGCTGTGAGTGTGGATGGGGGTATTAATCTTCTCTTCGTCAACACCCACCCACACCGACACCCGCATTCACACCCACATCCTCGCTTGCTTTCATGACGTACAATTACTACGAGACTCTTTATGCAGCCGAAGCGTTGTGATCACTTCCATTGTCGATTACATATCAATCAGCGATATTAGTTGAATTTTCTTTTGGTATCGAAAAGTCATTCTAATATTCGTAGAATTGTAGTTATCGATAGTTCTAGTTTTGCACGATAGTAGTTATAATACGAATTTCGAAAGATGTTTTGAAATGACTGCGGTAGTAGCAAATTCTTAGAAGTGATGAATATCTTTACTCTCACTCAATATTCAAAAGCGATGAACAAATCTTTTTAGTATTTTTTACACGACTTTTTTGTGTAGTTATTGTGTTTTCAACATCCTTTCATCCCATTGAAGTTTAATCGATGTTCATTGCCATTTTTTATTCATAAGCAAAGCTATATTCTTTATAAACTTTCTTTGAAATTAAAAATTCTAATTCAAGATATTCAACCATCTCCTTTGTTTTTCCAATTTTATCACATGTTTACATTTGTATTAATCAATGTGAACTGGAAGAATTGATGAAAATCTAATTTAATGTGGCAAAGAAACAATAAAATGCTAGAATATCAAGTAGAATTATTATCACTAGCTGATAATTTTGTTCTTTCCAATGATGATGCTTACATTTTCTAAAGAGTAGTCCGTTGAATCAACATAAAATCTTCATACATCTTTCGAGATAAGATATCTTTTACATTTTATTCTCTAGGTTTTTATAAATGACGAAAATGATAAAATGTAATTTTATAAACATTAGAAATTCTCGTTTGTTTTGAAATATAAGAACATCTTTGGCTTGATCTAATTTATTGTATTGATTTAAGTATGAACGAAAGAAAAAGGCAACGAAACTCATCAACAGATAGTTGTTTTACGAAAAAGTTACAATGTACTTCTTGTTTAGTAACATCAATTAATACAGACAAGTGAGTAAGACGTTTTCACATTAATAGCTATTAATATATTTTACTGAATTCAACAAGTTCAATCTTCCAATTTGAAGATCTTTCAAATGACATCATCTATGAAATTTTTGATTATCTCGATACTTATCATATTTATGAATGTTTTTTCAATCTTAATAAACGATTTCATAATATTCTTCTGGATTCAATCCTTCCTATTCATGTCAATATTCCACTTAGATCTAAATTGAATTTTGATCGTTACTATACTGATTTTATTCAACCTAATAAACATCGAATTCAATCACTTTATTTATTAGATCCTTTCGCAATTGACTTCTTTTCTTCATTAGTAGAACATATTTCAAAATGTTTTCAACTTCAAACACTTGTTTTGAATGAAATTGATTCAAAAATTATAGAAAGTCTTCTTACTGACTTATCTTCTTTGAATAATCTTTCTTCATTATCCATTCGTATTGGATGTGATTCCAATAAAATTACTATTTACAATCTAATATTTTATTTACCAGTATTAAAATATTGTAAAATATCTTTTGAAGAAGATGTTCGATTAGGATCATTGCCTTTATGTATGAATCCATTGAGTTCTATTGAACATTTTATTATTAATGATAATTATAATCTGGATGAAGTTGAAGTTATTTTATCATATATTCCTCATGTTCGCCATTTATCCATTGAATACCAAAATAAACCTGATCCAAAATCAACAAAAATATTTTTAATGGTGTTAGACAGTTTAACACACATTTGTGTCACAGGAGACCGCTTAGAACTTGATAGTATTGAACAGTTTGTCAAAAACCATGCTAACCAGATTAAAGTGGTACACATTTCATCATTTGGGTTACAGTCCGATTATGCACCATGGGTAAAAACAATTTCATCTTATTTATCACATGTACGTGTCGTTGATTTTCCTGGTGAAGATATGAATCATTGTCGTCGTGTACTACAAATCTATGAATCAATATATAATCCTCGTTATAACTCTTTTCCATATGTGCGACAATGGTTCTTCACACACGAACCTATGCCAGACGCATATTTACATGAAATATTCTGTTCAGTTCGGACACATAAGTAAAAATTATTGCTTAGTAAATTTGAATTTTGTTTTTACTTTTTTAAGAGGAAACAATGTTGTGTTGACTCGCTATTCAGATTTCAATAAATATACATGTCATGTCAAAACTTCTAATTCAATGCAACATGCTATTATTGCCGATTTCTATCCACCAAACGTTTATTCAGCACACTTTCCAAATGTTAGAGAAGTGACTGTTCATGATGATTGTCATATTATTTCTTGCTTGTTTACCGATGATAGTAATATCAAATGGAGTATTCCATTAATGCAACTTACTAATCTAAATATCGAGACTATTTCTATAGATTTAAGTGTGTTAGTCGATATCTTACAATTCACACCGAATATTCATACATTGACGTTAACATTAGCGAGAAAATGTTCAAGAGAATGTTCATCACTGGAGGAAAGTGAAACATTTCAACTGGTGTCAAATCAAAATATAATAAAAAATCTTAATCTTAAAAATTATTATAAATTAAAAATGATCAAAGTATTAATTAATCTTTGTCATCTATTGGAATACATTTCATTTGGTATATCTAAACAATCTCTCGAAGCAACCGTAAAATATGTATTGTTGCAAAGAAATGAGAGTATTCATCATTTGTTTTTATTATGTATTTTTGGAGTAGATATGATGTGGATTGAAAAATTACAAAACCTAATTGGCTCAATAGAACTTCTAGATAAGTACTTAATAAAAGTTGTTAATGATAAGTTCTATTTGAAGTTATGAAATTAATTATCGGTAATATCTTTTTGTTTTAAGCGTTAATAAATTCGAAATAAAACAGAAGATTGACATTTTATCTTTAATTTATCAGTACAAAAAGTGAATAATATGTATGTTTTCTTAGGATAATTCAATATATTAAAACCGGTAATCGTATGAAATTGAAGCAATAACACAAACTATTGTAGATATCAGATTTTATTAGTAGGATTCATCGCTTGAACTGATATATTGGTTGTCAATTGAATAATTAATTTTATGTGATTGACAAATGCCTTTGTTCTTTAAGATGAATAAGATTAAGTTGTGAAACAATATTCGCATCCATCGAAGATTTCTACCTCTTGTAGAAGCTCAATAGTCTGTATGAAATAACAATACTATTATTGCATTTTGATTAGATATAATCATCACATTTTTATGAATTCACAATAGAGTAAAGTACATCATGGCTTTTGCGTCGAAAAATTTACTTTCACAGCAAGAAACTTCTCACCAAGTAAACGAATCATATGTAAGCTTAAATCAATAGAGTATATTTTAGAAATGGGCAGAGTGTAAATAATAGAAGAATATATATACTTATGCGTCCGTTATTGTTATAAAAATAGCTCCTTGGATAGTTCAATATATCATTTTGAAGAGAATACATGTGTACAATGTACGAAAAATCAAACTCGTATTAGCATTGTAGGGACTTTCGATGAAACACCTAAATAGCCACAAATTGCTATCTATACAATCAAAGCATTCGAGCTATCGCTATTTAAGAGTAAAGCACATTCGAAAAACCATATTCATTTGTTTGTATCAGTTAATTATATGATGATTGACACTACAAAAACGGCATGAGATATAACATATTATCATTATTTCTTGCATTCAACTGTCGATATTCAGAAATGGTGAGATTTTACTTCTCATTTTTTAGCATATGTTTCAGATCACGCGACATTGGAAAAATAACTTTGAAGGTACTTTACTATTTCAAGGATAAAAATAATATTTCATTTCAATCTCAATTTAATGAATACGATGTAAAAATAAAAGATTCAAACATTGAACAAGTTCATCCAGTACTAACTTGAAGTCATACTTCATTGATCGAAACGGAAGTAGAAGTCTTGAAAGGACGAATCTATTTGGGTGTTCATTAGTGTGACGAGGGCTAACTCTTATTGAACAGTTGATATTCGGAGTTTTTCAAGAATTTAGTTGCACAGACCATTTATTTTTAATACAGAATCTATACAATAGATGATGGTAACGCTTTTGTTTTGTTAAAATCTTTCGAGAAGATTTTATATGGTATAAGATTATGTTAGTCTTAAAAGTGTTTTTACTTTCAATTTTCTATAGAAAAATATGGAAACTAATACAAAAACGAACGATATGTCTTGTGCTTCTAAGTATTAGATAAGGAGTGCTACGATGTATTGAACATGTTGCAGAACTTCATGCATGCCCAGAGATTTATATCACTATCAATCATCTAAGGCATTTTATTTATAACGGTAACATTCAAATAAAAAGAAGAATAGAAAATGTACATTTGCATAAACAATAAAGTTAATATTAAAAAAAAAATTCTCTCGGTTCACTTTTTCTTCATTCTAATAACAAAAACTTGATTAATCATGGATAAATTTTTAAAAAACGACTAATAGAAAAATAAATGGTTTGAAAAAGTACTTTTATTCAATTGATTCTATTCAAATTTAATAGAATCAATTTTATAAAACCATGTAAATGTATTCATTTTATTATTAAATTTTCGGTGTCCGATATTCGGTGTTGTATTTATATAGGAAATCTTCAGTACATTTACTAGGAAAAATCTAGCTATCGACTCTAAATAAGCATCACAACAACAATAATATTATAGGTATACTTTTTCAGCGCTCTATAATTATCATCGATTGTCTCCTGGTCATTTGAGGGTGTGGATGTGGGTGTGTGTGAGTGCAGCTGAAGAGATACCATGCACCCACACCCTAGTGTTAAACCAGCGCTTTATATCATACTCAGCATTATTCACATAACAATTTCAACGTGATTTCTTGCTTTACTGCTTCTATGTCTGATGCAACTTATAATTTTTACTCGAATTCGGATGCTTTACCAGCATTAGCAGTTTACGAACTCGATCATCACGATCATCTACTGCGAAACATATCTTGCATCATACATTGTCTAGTCGATCTCCATCCTCATCATCAAGAGTTGTGCGTCGCAGATGAGAATCATCTATACGTAAGTCTACTATATGAAATAAATGAGTATTTCATTTTGTATACCTAGAAAATTATTTTAACTATTTATTGCAGCTTGGGTGTGGGTGTTGTCTCTTTCCATCCACATCCACATCCACACCCACAGCCTCTCGTGTTCTTGATGTCGATGCAAGCTCTGCTTTCATCACTTCTTCTCTGAATATCATTTTCATTAGTTCATATTTTTGTTGGTACTACTTAGTATAAGAAAAAACTGACATTCTCTTCTATACATGATAGACTTGAATGAATGTTGTTTAAAGACTTATTAGATCATTTTCAGTGAATGTAATCTAAACTGGTGCATTAAATAAAAACCTCATATTAAAAAATTCAGATCTTAATTTCTTAGAGGGAAGAAAAAAAATCGGTGAAAAAGTGAAAAATCAAATTTTTAGCCTATATATAATAATCAGATCTCTGTCCAAATACGTCATGAGCGCGAACCCTTTTAAGGTTTTCTTAGACTCACTGAGTCCTACTCCTAGGTAAAATATGGGGTCAAATGGTGTCTGACAGATGGGAAAGTTCCCTCGTCAGTCGAAAATAAGAAATCCAGTTCTATTAAATTTTGCAGCATAATTTTCTCTTCAGTTTAACATTTTTCTGATCCTTCTTATACGTCAAATGGCTGAGAAATATGGAATGTACTATTAGAAAAATAAGACAAAAAAATCTCGTTTTAAGAAAAATCTCAAACAAAGTTTGCAATTGAAAATCAATGCTTTTGTTTAGTTAAACGGCAGTGGAAACAAATAAATCATAGTCTACCATTGGATATCAACCATGGTGGATCGAACGAAGACTTGTAGATACTTCTATAGCGTCTAAAAATCTGGATTGAAAAGAGAATACACATATGATGTGCAGGTATTCATGTCATTCATTCACACTCATACCTGCTCTAATTAAATGAGCGCTGATAGAAAAGTAAACAGAGAACTCAATTTTACTTGCTCAAAGGCTTGCAACACTTTCTATTATTTTCCACATTTTTACTAAATTTTCTATTACAGAAAATCTTAGAAAATGTTTAAAAGGCAATAAGAAATAACATTTTCAAAAAGACTGATTTTTCATGATTCCAACATGATCAGTAAATCCTGTGTAAAGAACATTAAAAAGCATCAGAATTCAAATAAATAATACTACTTTCGCAAGTACTCAGTGACGACTTGACAATCTTAACACCGACTTTTTTAGCAGAAATCGTGATTTTTGACAAGAGAGAAGGAACCTTAGCATTAAAAAAGAAATTATCCTTACACACATCACTACCATTTTATGTGCATAAGAGTCATCCATTCGAATCATTGATTTTTTTAAATGTGTATATAATATTTGATGTCTTATTAGTAACTAAAATGAAATGATTATTTGTTTCCAGGGTGTGGGTGTGGGTGTAAAGAGAATACCCACAGCTATACCCAAACAATGTCTTTCCCTTTTATTTATTGTTGATAATTACCAAACTTTGTACTTAAAAAGAAATTAATTCCATCATTAGAATTAATGTTCGAGACTTTTCACATTCATGATAACTGCTACGGTATAATATTTGGGTTTTGTAAGATCTGCGCAGCTTTGTCTAGAAAACCTGTTGACACAAGAAAAGCTAAGAAAATTTACTTCTCTACTTCTAACACATTTCAATGATGGCTTATAAAATAAATACGTCATTTAACATAATACTTAAAATATAGTTAAATACATTTTCTAGCTGAATCGCTTCATCATACGTCCTGAAATTCATGTGTTCTAATAAACATTCACACGAAATTTATTATTTCAGACACAACATTTCGATTATGTTAACTAGTTTGCACTAACACATTGAAATATGAGTGATATAGTTTTAGTGATTAGATAAGCAGAGGAATGTTCAGCAAGGAGTATCTGTATAAAAGTTAGCAAGCACATGTGTCACCATGTCAACGCCGATGTTAACAAGATTGCATTGCCTGATAGAGATGTAAAACGGCGAAAGTTTTGGTATTAAATTTATGTTTTTTAGGGTAGAAGAAATTTCATAGACAGCATAAATAGTATTGTTGTTTATTCTATAGATAACGGCGTCTCATGATTCGCTTGCATGAAACATATGTAAATAAAAGCATTTAATTTATTTTGTATGATTATAGGCGATCAGATTTTCATCCAGTTTTGTTTATTTTACATTGTTTATAAACGATTTCTTTATGATAATGAAATCGATTTTAACAAAAAAGTAATCAAAATAATCGATGAAAATTTCGATATTTTTGATTATTTTTCGATCAAAGTCAGTCAATGGTGTATGGTTTTATTCGAATTAGAAGCGATATTTTGCATCAATTTTTTTACATGGAGATCATCAAAAACATTGTAATATTGTAGCCAGCATTTGCTGATTCACTATCACTTTACCTGAGTATTGACTTATGATATCTGTGGATTAGAGTTTCAGAAAAACGACTGTTGACAATTGATAAAGTATACCGTCCTTGAATTATGTATTATATATTTTTCTCGCAAATGAAAACAGCCATTCAAGCAGCTCTTGTGTAAGGAGATTAATTTTGTACAGAAAAGTAAAGAGAAGGCAGGCGCAAGAATCAACTTTTTTCTTTCAATATGGTAAAAATTTATGCAATAAAAAAGAAATGCTTTATATCTGTCAGAAGAGAAGAAGATTAAAGATATTGCCAATAATACGATTGTGGTAAATAATGCAATATATATGATACTTCGCACACAAAACACCCATAGATATCCTCGATATCTCGATTCAATTGTCTTGTATTTCTGCAAGACAAGAGAAACAAATCCACCAGAATTGCATTAAGAAATGAGCAATAATCATAAATACACAAGAGTACATCTCATTGTCAAAATAAGAAAATCTTTCGTTGATAGATACTAAAAAGAGGAAGATGTATTGAGTCATTGTCGAGCCAAATTATGTGAACTATTCATCAGCTTTTCGTCAAAATTTCAGTTCTGATGATATGATATGTTTTGCAGACAATCGAACCAACACATATTTCTCTTGAAATCAAATTTGAAATGATAAGATTCAAAAGACCGATAAAATTAGAAAAATATATTTTTTTTTAGATAGCTTAACCTACATGGAATAGTGAGAAGGTATGAAGGATAGGATTTTAGATGTCGATTTTTAGTGTAATACAGCAGTATCCATCGAGAACAAAATCACATCACATTAGTTTCACGTATCATTGAAAAATCTTGCTATTGGTTCTACTTAAGGCAATCCAAAAGTAGTGTCGTCAGGGTCTTATTACCTTATAGTAAGGGAAAAAAAAATTCTTTTTTTATGAATAGATAGAGCGTCTTTTGCTCTATTTTTCAATGCTATTTGATCACCATTCAACTGATATCATAATAATAAAATTTTGATAAAAACTGTTTTTTTGTTGGAAACCAGCTGGTAGCATTAGATCATAATGGATGGGACATCTTCGTATTTCATTTTATTATCACTTAATATGTTGTATTAAAAAAACGAAATATACCACAAGATGCGGCTTGAAAAGCTCTACCATTTATAAAGGATCGCTTATTTAATAGTTACACTTTTTATTTTCAAAATGGACAAAACTCTGAGCGACCAAATATCGACATTGCAAAAACGAGATGCTTTTTTTGGTAACAGACGAATTCGTTTTTTCTTATCTCATCTTTTTATTACCTGATCTACTTTATTAGAAAAAACAAAATACACTACAAGACGCAGCGTGAAAAGCTCTACAATTTACAAAGAACAATTATAAAAAGATGCGATACAAAAAAAATCAATTCGTCTTTTACCAAAAAACAATCCCATTTTCGCAACGTCAAAATTAGGTCGGTCAGAGTTTTGTCTATTTTGAAAATAAAAAGTGTAACTATTAAATAAGCGATCCTTTATAAACGGTAGAGCTTTTCAAGCCGCATCTTGTGGTATATTTTGTTTTTTTAATACAACATATTAGGTGATAATAAAATGAAATACAAAGATGTCCCATCCATTATGATCCAAATGCTACCAGCTAGTTTCCAACAAAAAACAGTTTTTATCGAAATTTTATTATTATGGTATCAGTTGAATAGTGATCAAATAGCATAGAAAAATAGAGCGAAAGACGCTCTATCTTTTCATAAAAAAAGAAAATTTTTTCAACCTTTCTATAAGGAAATTTGGTAATGGCGCCACTACTTTTGGATACCCCTAAGTATTTCTTGAAAATATTTGTTCAAAGAAGTCGAATATTGATTTCAACACACATGAAGAGTTTGATCGATGACTCAATTGATGATTCTTTTCATTAGCTAACAATGAGATAAGTTCATATCTTGATTATAATGAATTTCAGACTTGTATTTCTCTGGTGAACTTATATCAAACAGCCGACATTCCAATCGATTTTGCTTCGTTTCGAACTTTCTTTGATTATCATTCATTGATCGAACCATGTCTTAGTTAAAACTCAGTGATCGAACAAAGACTGACAACGATGGGAAATATCTTGCCGCAAGATGAACGAAACCTATGTAACAATGACATGTATGCAAACTATTGATAGAAATCATGGATCAGAACATACAATAGGCGCGAGTATTTTATTCAAGAATATTTAAGAACAATGGAAGAGTATCAATGAAATTAGAATGAAATCAACTAGCACATGCGAGTCTTACATAGGTTATTCAAAACTTCTATGTTCAAATATGTAATATTCAGTAATTTAAAACATCTTGAATAAGACTACTAATGATACAAGAGCCAATGATAAGCCAATCGAACTTGAAGTAGCAATGCCTGAATTACATCTGTCGGTCCTACAACATGTGGTTCGAAAACCACTTCCAAGGATGACAGCATCGACTTCTGAGCAACTAGTTACAGCATCACGAATTGTTGTAATTACTTTACTACCAGCCAATGTTATACTTTTCTAAAAGTATTGAAGCAAGAAGTATATCGTATTGCGTTGACAGAAAAAGTATAACAACTCACCCGACACGAGTATCCTGCATTGTCTGGTACGTTGCTTGTTGCTATATTACTATTGACAGTGTTACAGAATCCACATGAATAACAGATCAGACCAAAAGCCGCTTGTTGCAAGGCTGAAACATAGACGAATGAAATCGTTTATTCTTTAGCAATTTTCTCGTCAACATGAATAATTAATGCAATGTGCCTACCTAAGAAAGCGAAGAAGCTGAAACTGACATAGCGAAATGATGGAGTCATTTGTAGAAAATGATTTGTAGAGGAGGAGCAAGAAGTCACTTTTTAAAATTCTATTTCGACTGATGGCTGTAGAAGAGCTGAGTAGTAGCTTTTATATTCTGTTTTTCTTTCCTGTACACAATCGTTTTGTCAATAGCAAAAAAATAAGAACAGATGAAATTGCAATCTTAATGCTGGTGTTTGCCGCATTTTTCGAGTATAATATTCTGTTTTGATAAAGACACAACGTTGTTATGGTGATTTCTCGTATATTTAATACCAGTAGGACGCGACCCTAACTCTTCTAGCGTAATCGACGCACTTTTGACTCTTCCCATTCTGTGAGTACAAAGTAACTTCTTGTGTAATCAAGTTTCCTAGTTAAACGTGAAAGCTTGAAAAACGAGTGTATTGGCAGGAAAGGACGGGAGCGCATAAGATAGGGAATCGGCCCATTAGTGTTTTCCTAGACTACACCCATTGAATCATATACTAACCGAGAGAGTAAAGTGAGACTAACGTTTTGGTGCTAAATTCATGAAGTTTTAATCGAATTTCGAAAGCTATAAGCTATCAACAAAATGACTCATTTTTTGTCATTTATCCATATCTTTCAATGAATATTTCAATGCAAAAGTTGAAGGTACCAAAATTTTCATTTAGCTCATTCGATAGCACTTTTCAAGAGCTACAATTTCATTATATTTTTAATTAAAAAAAAATTTGGCCCATGGTACATCATAGGGCCACAATGGTTATCATATACCTTTTTTTTCATTGTCTGTAATGTTTCAATAAATACTTGATTAGAAAAATTTAAGGTACCAAAATTCTCATATATACCATTTGATAGATCTTTTCAAGAGCTACAATTCTATTATATTTTTAATTAAAAAAAACCTTGGCCCATGGTACATCGTAGGACCACAATGGTTATCATATGCTCTTTTTTTCATTGTCTATGATGTTTCAATAAACACTTGATTAGAAAAATTAAAGGTACCAAAATTCTCGTATATACCATTTGATAGATCTTTTCAAGAGCTACAATTCTATTATATTTTTAATTAAAAAAAACCTTGGCCCATGGTACATCATAGGAGCATAATAGTTATTATGTACTCTACCTATGGCATTTTTGAAGATTTTTTTATTTAATTTTCTCAACTATCATAGACATTTTAGTTTTTATCTATCAATTTTTAAATCCATTGGATAGTTTTGCTGTCTCACATGTTATTGTTATAAATGTTACTCATCCAATTCGTCAAGTTGAATGATTACCACGTGCAGTTGATGTTCTTGATAATCAATATGTTGCATTAGCACTTGAACAATGGTCATATGGTGGTGGAAATTATTCATCAACAAATGCTGATTGTCATTCACCATCAACTGCAACATTACTTTTAATTCTTAATCGTGAACGTTCAAGATAAAGTTTACATGTAATTGTAGGTGCTGATGTTGGTCAAGTAAGATGTTTAAAATGGTTGCCAGAACATTCAACAATCAATGATTCATATTTAAGTTATTTAGCTATTGAAACAAGTCAATGAATTGTTATTATATTTCGTGTTCAACGTGGTACACAACCTGTTCCACCACTTAATCAATGAAAAGATAGAAGTATTGACTGAGTGGAATATGGATCTTGTACAGCACTTGATTGATGTTATGATAATCTGAGTAAATTATATGAAGGATATGAAAACGGAATTGTTTTTAAGGTAGGAATTAAATTCTAAATTACTTGTTGAACAAGTAAAGAAAATTGATCAAAAACGTTTGATTAGTTTGGTTTTTAGACAACAAATTATTCGTTAATTTATCTCGTCAGAAGCATTTTTCTTGAAACTGCATCAATAGAACATGTTAAATTTCGAAAAATTCCAAACATTTAATTGCTGTTAGTTTAAAAAACAAACAATCTTGGACGTAAGTAATTCATTTAAGATCTTTTTTTATTGAACATTTCTTTTTATAGAAGTACAGATAACTCGTAAAAATATTTTTTTTATCATCATTGATCAAATTCAAGAGAATTTACATCGTCAACACTTCATGGTACATTGTATGTCAGTTGTTCACATACAAAGTAAGATGAATTATCTAGATATGTTTTTTTTTAATTCGTTCACGTGTCTCTAGCATGTCTTAATAGATCTGGATAGCGTTATTCTATCTTTCTCTTTCTCTCTTTCTGTCTCTCTATATAAATAATAAATATAAAAGAAAACTTATTTCATTTTATTTTCGTCTAGCAAACGAAGCGATACAAATATCCATGAATCACGTGGATTTTCTTACGTACTTAAACAATAATAAAGATGCAATTAAAAATAGAACTGATGTAATAGCGTTATACACGCATTTTTATTTATTAAATAAAGGATTTAGTTTAACAAATAACAATGAGGTAAGAAGATATTGGTTTTTACCTTAAAGACTTTTGTTTTATCGTTTAAAAAAGGTTATTAATGATTCAATCATGATCAATAAACAATTAGATTGTGGTTTCGTTTCACGATATGTGATCAACAAAGTCTTCATGAAGATGGTTATTGTAAACAGTCAAGAATATGCGACGATTGAAATCAATGTGAGTTTTATTTCAATGATTAGAAAATTTGCATTTATTCATTTTGACATTCTAGCCAGATGATGTATCAGCTCCAATTCGCTTTCGTGTTCGACTATCAAATATCAATGAACAATATAGCATTAGGTAACCTTTCAAATTCATTTCTTTTTGAATGAAATGATTGAAATTTGTTGTTTTGTTAGTATTGAAGATTTTAATAAACTTCAAACAAAGTACAATAAAAAAATGTCATTCACTGGAGCCATTGCATACGAATTGAAGAAAACAACATCTCCCATTTCAAATTCGTTGGTTTGTGGTTCATTGGCCACATCAATTGATAATAAAGAAAAAGCAAGGGGGAAAGTGCTGGCACCCATCACCTTGACACCTCAGCACCTTTTCAGCACCTCAGCACCTCAGCACCTTTTCAGCACCTTCGGATACCAAAGGTGCTGAGGTGCTCATACATTTTGTTCAAAGGTCAAAGGTCAAGGTCAAAGTCAAGGTGCTGACCTTTGATCTTTGAACAAAATGTATGAGCACCTCAGCACCTTCTCAGCACCTCAGCACCTCAGCACCTCAGCACCTTTTCAGCACCATCAGCCACAATTTGGTGCTTGGAACCTGCACTTTCCCCCTTGAGAAAAAGACAAATAATTATAGTGGAAATGTTTGTTTTTTTGGTTCATCAGCAAGTTCATCTTAACTTCTTCGTCGAAATTTTTTTCTCCTTCCGTCGCGATTTTTTTTTTAAATTTTTATATCATTCATAATGAAAAAAAGACAAGAAAATAAAAGAAAAAAGAACTTGCTAAAAAGAACATCATCTAATCAACAGTTCTTTAGCAACAGATTTTTATTTGTTGTCCTAATCTTCTTAAAATATTCATCTGCTAGCAAAAATTCATTCGTATACGGCTCTACGTGTTGATAATGTGCTGACATTGTAAAATATTTCATTTTAAAGTTGTTTATTTATTTACTTGCTTTCAAATTATAATCACAATTACGTCGAATGAGTAATTATTTCTGTCACGTATTGAAGGAAATACGTAAATGCCAAGTTTATTATGAAAAACAAAAGAATATATATGTATCACAATAGACAGTGATATTGCGTAGTAGATAACATTATTACGTAATAGAAAATATTATTACGTAATAGAGAAAAAGATCAAGGCCAAAGTTTGACCCGCATCAACAATAACGAATATAAGTTGAGATCAAGGGAAAATGTAAGAACGAAAGAAAAACAACAGAAACGAAAAGAAAGGAAACAGAGAATAACAATAGTGAATCTCACTATATGACAATTTCTAATTCATTGGTGGATACATATATTAACGGGGATTAGAAATGAAAAATATAATGCAACAAAGATACTTAATCGTATTCATTTGAGTCGTTGTTCCTGTCATTCTACTGATTCTCACACTCATCTTAAAGTAACAAATAGTGTTATCATTGTTAATGAACTTTCAACTCGCGCTATGTATTTACCTTTGAAAACACAATTTTCAATTAATCAGCAAATATCTAAAGATGATTATGTATATGTGATACCTATAATAACATTTGTTTTTATTTTTTAATATGACTAATTAAATTGAATGATTTTAGACTTAAATCTATTTTGTTCGATGAGTTGGTGAATATGATTTTCATTAAAAAAAAACTTCTAATAGTGATTGATGAACACAGATTGCACTTCTGATCTTGATTTTTTTTTCATAAACTGTTGTTTACAACCGTATATCTTTGATCTAAGAGAAAGAATAGTTGAACTATGTGACGAATGGTTAGGGTGACTGCCTATACCTTTCGGCACGACGGTGGCTTGTGTCATCTGCACACTCACAACTGTTCCTTTTCTTTTATCCCATACACCTTATATAGGAAAAGAAGTGATCACACATGAGAAAACAGGCGGAAGATCTTTACACGATGAAGAGGTCATACAAATGAAGCATAGCGATCAATAACCGTTAGAAACTTGACGAGGACTAAAGAGAAAACCTCACCAACATGATATCTTCCATTTCAGCTCATATCTTGCCCGTTGACAAGATTAAATATAGAGGTAAAACTGTATTTTCTAGATTTTTTTCACACTCAGTGAAGAAGCATTTTTATAAGCTGACTTTTTGTTTACAAATTCATTTTATATACTTGCTCAATATAGTAAGATCAAGCATGTAAGGGAAGTTAGCGAAGTATTCGAGTTTTTTCTAGATCGATTCGCACAATCAACTGTGCCAACTACGGAATATTGTGTGCCAGATAGAGTTCAATGAGCTCTATCGAATGGTATATTTACTTCTAAAAACGAAATCCACAACAAAGAAAAAAACCATAAAATATAATTTTTCATCCTGGGGGAAAAAATGCAAAATAGATATTTTCCAGAAATATTCGATTCACGACTTGTGCCACTTTTCAAATTTGAATCAATCGATGTAATTTAACAAGCTCTATCTAATGGTGTATAATAAGCCCTGATAAATTGAATC